CTAAAGCCAATCGCCAAGGGTGGGACCCTTCAAACTGAAACACAGCCACACATATGGCTTGGATTTACAGGGTACAGAGGAATAACACCTGAGTCTTCAGGAATGGCAACGCATGGGAGTATCATGGGCGAAATAGTACCTATACTCTGTTATGTCCATGGTACTGCTCATGTCTATAGGCGACCGTTACCACTTTCCATCAGGTGGGCCGTCAGCTTGTTTGCCATTCTAAGTTGTATAAAAAAAAATACAACACAATAAAGGTACTTGTACAAGTATAGTAAGTAATAAGGCGGCCTTACTGGTGAAATCAATCTTTTCAAGACTACCGCATTTAATTATTGAACAAGTAAATTGCTAGCGAGCAAAATCTATTTATTTTACTTTCATAATCATACTGTCCACTGCAGAACATAATTCAAAAATCATAAATCATCATCACGTAAAGAGGGGCTGGCGGTCCGCCAGTAGTTGCCATGTTTGGCAGGTGGGTTGGCAATCGCAGTCAGGCTTGCAGTGACGCTGGCGCTCATCCTGTTTATCGATTATTAATATAATATAATTGCTTTCTATTTGTATACAATTATTATTTTCTTTTGTTTGTTTTCTTTTGATTTCTTTTGTTCTTGTTTTGTGCGCTACTGTGTGGGCCGCATGGTTCTTCGATTAAATTATTTCTTTCCTTCTTTCTTTCTTTCTTTTATCCCTCGACCATTAAGTTCCCTTAGTCGCCTCATACAACACCCACGAGAAAGAAAGGGGTGCCCCATTCTATGCGGATTTTTACACACACACGGCATTTTTACTTTCATATCTCTGTAATACAATAATTTGTCCACTTTACTCCTGACACGCTTCTCAAAGACAAAACAAAACAATAATAAAACAGTTATCCGACTGTACTATGTATGTATACATACATATAATTTGGCTTTCTACCAACAAATCACCAATTCCCAACGTACACCTAAGTACAAGACAATCATTATCTAATTTCACAATTAGGTACTCTCGCGATAACAATTTTGGTTATCGCCGGAAATTTGTCGAATGTTTTTTTGTCTTAGTATTTTTTCGAGTGACACGAAAATAACCGTTAGACTACACTGTACAGTAGTTTTTTTTTTTTTTTTGTGGATGAAAATGGTAACCCCGCCTGCGCTAACGGGATACACTGCCCGAGCACCAGTGAAGGGTGATCGATGAGAATGAAAACAGGCCAGTTTGCCCATTATGATGAATTCATCAGGAATTAACCATGATAGTTTCCAAGAGGAACCACGAGGAGGTCGACCTGGTTGGGTATATTGCTAGCAATGGAATTTTTAGTCTCCATTACTAACAATCCCTTTCCCCCCACTGTACAGTAGTAATAAGTAATACAATTATACCAATTGTCTGGACCCCAATACAAGATACACTGTATAAATAAGACACAACCACAAAACCGTGTGGTCCCGTCATAGAATAGGCCACCCCCTCCTTTTCCGTGGGTGTCGTAAGAGACAACTAAGGGAGTGCGAGGGATGGGCAGCAGCAGCATTTTAAAACATCTCTAAAGCTGCGGTTGCCAATCTGCCTGCCAAACGTGGCAACTACTGGCAAAAACCTCCAAGGGGGAAGCTTGTGTTCAGCAGTAGACAATTAAAGGCTGATTTGATACTGATGATGATGAACCACAGAATACCTTAAGCCTGAAAGAAATTTCTTCCGAACAATCTAATACAGTGTACAGGGGGGAAGGGATTATTAGTAATGCGGATTACTACTCCCATAGCTAACGATATACACTAACAGGTCGACCTCCCCGTGGTCTCTCTTAGAAACCATCGTGCTGAATCCCAAGTGTATTTATCACGGTGGGCTATGTAACTGACCTGCCTTTTCATTCTCCCGTATCATCTCTCACTGGTGCCCCGCCAGCGTATACCGTTAGCGAAGGCAGGTGTACCATTCTATTAAAAAAAACACAGTGTACATAAAGTAATAAATCAATTCGGAAAAGACAGCATTTAGAATCAAAGAATTTCTGTCATCTAAATTATCTACATACATCCTGCAACATAAAATTTTACACTGACGAATATTGCATGAGATATGTAACATACCTTCCAATATATGGACATACACATAAAATACTTAATGGAAATTACCATAATATGTAACCGTAAAATGAAATTAATAGTTGAAAATTCATTGAGAAGACCATTGCATTTTTAACTTAAAAGTCATTAAATTTAGGTTGAATTTGCCTTGTGCTATATTTTATTGCTATAACCCAACTATTTTAAGTATACACCTTATTCGACGCGTTATGATTGCAAGTTAGTCTTATGTTGATTTGTTGGTATAGTCGACCTAGAGTCCTAGCTCTATTGTACTAAACTCCATTGTTTCCCGTGGGAAATTATTTTAGTTACACGATTCGTCTTTTCGACAGTTGAAAACTCTTACGTAATTTAGGTTTTTAACATAAATGCAGTATTCATTTCAGTATTACCCGTACGCAAATAATATTACCCGTTCCATTTTTAAATCTAATTAAAATTTATATAAAAAAAATATTTATACTCAATTAACGTAGATACTAATCACAATTAGTAGTCACAATAAAAAATGGCGCGCAATGTTTTATTTAAAATAATATATATATATATATATATATATATATATATATATATATATATATATATATATATATATATATATATATATATATATATATATATATATATATATATATATATATATATATATATATATATACAGAGTTTATTGAAACTTGTTCCTCTATCTAGATGTTTATTATCTAGCCAAAAACATGTTTATATTCAAGGAGTACTAGTTTAAAAATAGATTAGATTAAAAAATCTCAATAACTGTAATCAGATGGGGAAGTGTTTGCGTAACAAAAACATCTGAATTACAGATTAATTGAAGTGATAGATGTATAAAGGAACTTGATCAATGTTAGATCATTGTTCTCGAGTAGTTCTGTTTCTCATTGGTTTTGTTGTCTACTTTTTCGTCAATAGATACAAATCCATTTGTCTCACTCAATCACACTAAGAAGGTAGAGACAAATATACCTGTATGTTCGAACAATTAACCTCTTTCGTACTTTTTATCATTGATTAAATCAGATGATTAATATATACTACTGCCACCGCGTAGATTTTTTGATGACGTCACATCCATTACTCTGGTTGTTCTGTCAAATTCGGTACAATTTCTATATTGACTATGGATTTAATAATTACTACGTTATTTAGAAGTCAGCATTGCCTTTAATTTGTGACTAACGAAAATGAATCTATGTAACCCTTTATGTGTTAATACATTAAAATTATTGAATATTTATAGTGTTGTACAATTATGAGTATTTATCATACACCTCTGTCCATAATATCGATATTAATATATTGGTATAATATATATAAAAGACCTAGCTCTTTCATATCAACTGTCCATTGCTGAACATAGGCTTCCCCTTAAAGAGGAATTGCCAGTAGTTGCCACGTTTGGTAGGCGATTTGGCTGTCACAGTCTTTGGTGACGTTTTCAAAGAGATGCTCCTACCCATCACTGGACCATTATGTTTCCTTAGTCGTTTCTTACAACACTCACGGGAAAGGATGGGGTGGCCCATTCTACGATGGGCTCATACGATTAGCTACTTATAAGTAGAAAATTTTCAAACGCAATGAATTGGTTACATTGGTTTCATACAAACTTTTCTCTTTCTTCGAAATGCTGCGGGCCTGATAGCGACTATCAAGTGAAGTTCTGTAATAGCTGTAAAGGTACTATCCTTAATCTATGGTAACAGTACTATTTGTGTGGGGGAAAAGGGGTTGTTAGTAATGGAGACTAAGAATCCCATTGCTAGCAATATACCCAACCAGGTCGACCTCCTCGCGGTTTTCCTTGGAAACTATCATGGTTAATTCCTGATGAATTCATTCTAGCCTGTTTTCATTCTCATCTATCACCCTTCACTGGTGCTCCGCCAGCGTATCCCATTAGCGTAGGCGGGGTTACCATACTATTTTCACCCACCAAAAAAAAAAAGTACTATTTGTGTCTCAATTTTTTTCCACTCTGTATAATATGGATTGACATTAATTCTACGTGCAAATAAATTTAAAGATGTCTACTACGTTTGAACAGTAACAATAAACTATGATCATTGATATTCCAAGCTAGTTCTTTATGGGCACGTTTTAATAATGGCACAGCATTGCCAAGTTTCTATGCGTTCCTAGTACCTCTTAATGACATTATGTATAAGGCATACGATTTATTGTTTCAATTGAAAACAAAACAAGGACGGTATAGTTGGGTCACTCGATATTTTACATGCAAAACACGAGTGAACTACACAATTTTATTCGCATTGAATTTGGATATTCGTTAATGTAAAATGAACTCTTTCGTTACGTTATAAGATCGAATATCAATGTTTGTGTACAGAGATCTTGGACGGGTCTGTTCAACCAGACCATGTCGGTTGTGTTATTAAAAATTCAACAATTATACGAATTTGATGCTTATCCGAACGGAATAAAGGTGAAGTATGATTGGAATAATAGTGTTTTGAGTTGCTAGAGGTGAGTGCCATTGTTTCGGTTCACTTTGAGTCCGTATATGATGAGCAGACAGGGCACTGTGACACTTTTGCACGGCGCACCCGTTACCTATAGGATACTAAAAATAAAAATTATTTAAAAAAAAAAGAACGTTAATTAATTACAAGAATGTCTCTGTCTTATATAACATATTACAAAGTGAAATGTGTTATTCTCTATCTATGCTCAATTGTTTATAAATTTATATCTTTGCGTTCCATATTCGTTTATATTGAGTCTATATAACCTACCTTTATCCTTGCCTTCTACAGACGCTAAGATATGTTAACGACTCATTTCTTATAGGATATCTTTTTTTGTTTCTATTCGTCTTTTCATACAGGTCTATAGGCCATTCTGCTCATCGTGCTTTGGTCTTAAATAGAGAACAAATTTATTCGTTTTAGTATTTCTTTTAACAACATTATTACATCTTCAATGATAAATGATTAATTTTACTTCTTATTTCATCAAATTTTAACTTCTTTTTGTTTTAAAATCTCTTTTACTTTCGTTTTTATTATCTGTATAATAAAGTTGACAGTACGAGTGACATAGCTAATTGGATTACTACTATTTTTTATCTTGCTTTAATAATCTCGAATCTATCATGAGTAATGCAGATACACCACATATGTTCAGCCCTTACGACTGGTTAGACGAAGCTGTTATATATAATAAAAGATACGAAATCATACCATCCGAGTGGATCAGAGAAAACACAGACGTCCTTGTCTTACTGTTCTCTGCGAGAGGGACAGACAGAAATGGCATTGTCGAGAAATTTTACGAGATTTATGAAAACGTCAAATTCCTTAACCTGCCTATAGAAGTCATTTACGTACCCCTAGAAGAAACTGAAGAAGAAATGAAACAGAGCTTCGAGAAACAGGCGAATTGGTTTACTCTCAAACCTTATGATCCCCTGGTACTTAAACTCAAATATATGTATGATATTACATGTATACCTCATATATTAGTTTTAAAAATTGATGGGACCATAATATCGACTCACGGTATGGTAGATCTAGAGCAGTATGGGAAAAATGCTATACTAACATGGCTTTCTACTTCGGCATCGTCGAAGAACCATAGGAAGTTGAGCAAGGACGCCGCAATGTATGGTGACAAGTGGAATTATATTAATGCGCAATCAAATACATCGAAACATGATTCGTATCTAAGGAAATTCAGCATTCCCGAGACCTTGTAAATTGACATAACTCTTGGTATTTTTTTCATGTAATCGGGTCATTTTGTGTAATTAAATGAATTTGTGAGCATGTCACTCAATATCGCAAATTGTCTATGGTCTTTGAGACAGTCAGAGTGCTACGAAAGTGCTAGTTGCCACGCTTGGCAAGTTGGTTGGCGTGTACCTCAACGTCAACAGCCAATATTAAAACTCCAACACGCCCTCTTAATCCTGGATGTTGACCAGCAACTGTTTGACCACTGACTGATTGCCGCAATATTATACGATAGCGTTAATATGCTTCCTCAGCTCAGAGAGTAAGGCACGGGCGTACACCGCTTCTCTTACCACCTCCAATACTACTATATATTACCTGTCTCGTTTTTTTTTCACTAAACTTATTATTTTTTATCTCAAATACATATATGTTTTATTACTGCACCCTGCTATTTACAACAAGGTCTATTATTTATTTATATGTATGTATATAATTGGTTTTTCGCAGTAATTTGTCTTTATTTTAATATTTTTTGTTTTATTTAATAAACAGAGCGGTGATGGAAAAACGAGTGGAAAAATCATTTTATTACTAATGTTGTAGGTATGAAAATGAGTTTGTTTATTTATTAGCTTATAACGCCTTAACGGCTTAACCAATCACTATGAAATTTTGCATGTCTACATGTACTATATGCGATGGAGAATGATAATGACTATTAAAAATATCTCGATCACACGGACGAAGCCGCGGGTAAAAGCTAGTATTTATTTAGTACAATTTTTACAAGTATGTTTTTCAAGTAGGAGCAAATAATATTTTATTAAAATCGGTCGAGTGATCTCGGAGATTAGCGTGAACGAACATGTTGACATGGGAATTTTTATGTATTAAGATAATATTATCTAGCTAACTATTCTAAAAATATTCACATAAAAACCAGTTGAACTTTTAAAAAATATGGCGCCATATTCGGATAGTATAAATTATATTGAGAGATGTAAATCTTGTAATCTATGGTTTTAAAAAAAAAAACTTTAATTGCACCAACTGTCATTTTATTTATCTTTATTGTAAAATGTATAATTTTATATTACCACATATCATTAATACCTTAATTTTACCTTTCTTTCGTACAGTTTGAAAAAGCTGCGCATCTAACAAGTTTGTTGACATTTTTGTTACTTGATACCCTTATAGATGTATTTATATATTTAGAAACTTCACAGAAATTTTAATGCTGCGAGTGCCTATGGGCAGCGGTAATCATATCTCGTTTGCCCACTAGGTTACAAAGAATACGAGTATACATACATACATACATACATATATATCTGTGACGCCTGTTTTCCATTAGGGTAGGCAGAAACAATGGAACGCCAAATGCTTCGATTCAAACAAACCTCTTTCGCTTCTTCCACATTCATCAATCTTTTCACACATGCTCGCCGGTTACGTGTACTTTTAATTTGGACCTTCTTCAGCACGTCACCTATTTGGTCAACACATGTCCGTCTAGAGCGGCCCCTACCGACATCTCCATTCATTCTTGCTCGATAAATCTCTTTCGTAATTCTTCTTTCATCCATCCTCTCCAAATGTCCAAACCAACACAACATTCCTTTTTCGATTTTTGTCACTACTGACCCTCGTATATTGTCATAAAATTTGGCATTTAGTAGCTATTACTTAAACTATGGCATAAAAAAGTTGTTTTTGTTCTTTATTCTATTACATATTTATATTATAAATGCGAAAGTTTGTAAAGATGGATAAGTTTGTTATTCTTTCACGTTAAAAGTACTCAACGGATTTAAATGAAATTTGTTAGTACATAGGATATAATTATACAATAGATAAATAAATAAATAAATAACTTTATGTATTGATTTACGGTGGGCGAAGATGTATGCAAACTAAGTCGTTAATATAGCTAGTTTACTAATAATTTGCAGTCTTAAAATTAGATACTCGTTACAGTCGTATACCTATACAAGATACGTAATTAATTTTAGAATCTAGAATTTTCCTAAAATATTCTTAGGTTTTGTAGACATCCATATCCCTACATACTGAAGTCGTTTACTAGTATAGGTACTATTAATATAATGCCTTCTTAATTGTAATTTTCATAAAATAAAAAAAAAGTATAAAACTTGAATTTATTACTTTAACTTAAAAAAAAAATGTGGTCAAGTTGTGCCTTAACCATTTTGTGTGTTCCATCCTTGTCAAGGGGAGTGCTAACCGTCTCTCCTTTCAATAGACACAAAAGTATTTACCAAGCATTCACTATATATACTTAACTCAACGTAAAATTTTGATAGCGCGTTGTAGGAACTTATTCTTACTACAGAAAAAGTATAAAGTAGTAAAAGTGACATCTGTGAGTGACTTGCAGTACTAAATTAATTTATCATTGTCATGTTTCGATTGGTTTTAATTCAGTGGTATTCCATTATTGTAATACATACACTTATATGAAAACCAGTTTTTGTCCGCGATTTCGCATCGAATTTGGAAGTAGGCAGTTGAAGATACGAAATAGTCCACTTTCAGATGGTCAAGATAAAATGTATCTACACCAGATTTTAAGTTCCACGTTTTTGGGATACAAATTAATGTGAAAATGGAAGTTGTTACTACATGATGCCGGAGCAAACATATGGATCAATAGACATACAGATAATTTCTCTTATTCAGATCTCTTATATCAATTTTCTTAAATATTATTTATTTATTTATGTACACTTTATTGCACCATTTATAAGAATAGAATAGAATAGAAATCATTTATTCAAATAAACTTACATTGAAGCACTTTTGAAAAGTTACAATTTTTTTTTTAATTTATAATCTATATTGATTTTTTAAATAATATTATTATTTTACATTTTTAAGTGTGTGAATACAAACCACCAATTAGCACTAATTCAATTAAATACTCAAAAAGAAAAAAAAAATTGAATACAGCCAATATGTCACGGAGACAAGTGACATTTTAGGCGACTCACTGCGCAAAGCTACTCACAATTGCCATCTGATAGAATATTCACATTTTACATAAGAATGTTCTCATATTAATCAATTAAATCAAGAAAGCAATATTTAACACAATAAACTAATTATTTACTTGGCGACGCTATCCTGTAATAGGCTTTCTTACATAAAAATTGTTTAATATAAGATTTGTGATTTAATGTGCTTATGCAGTCAAGAATATTACTGATTTTGTGCAGACGGCATTTAGAAAATAAGCTGATATTGCAAATATTTTTTAAAACTCGCTAAGTGCAAAATGTATTGTGAATTACAAAAATACAGACTCTCTTGAACCCATACCATGATATTCGAATACATGTTTAACAAAATATACAAGCTTGCGGCTAATTGCATATGCAGCAGAACTGAGTCTACTGGCCAATTTTGAAATCGTAATTTCGAGTCCACTGTTTATAATATATTTTCATGTTTCTGATTTATCGTTACATTATTTTGTTTCTTAATTATTTACAGAATGGAAAAATTGTTACATGACTGAACATTTAGTATCTTCATTAAAATATGACTCAAAAATTAATTATAAAATGACTCTAATTTAACGAAGTACCTCTCCCAAGAGTGTCATTAGCACCGCGTCAGGTAAACCATATTGCTGACTGTGAAGCAGTCCGTTAACCCTGATTTAATTATCTTTTCGAGTCCTCAGAATCATTTATTCAAGATTCGATTTATTAAAAATAGTGGCTAGATATGGAGCTTTTTACTTTTACAGACATGCCCCAAAGGTCTTCCGTATTTTTTAAATTTAGCTGTTTGAATATTTTTAATGAATACAAAAATAGTAAACACATTTAACTGAATACTAGAAAGTAGGTTTGATTCTTCGCAAAAAACATTGAAAAACGTCTTCAATCGTCTAGGATTTTTACTATATAAAATGGCAAATATTTTGATTTAAAAAAAAAAAACTGGCGACTGAATCGGTGTTGATAAAAAATACAGAATTCTGTACATGGGTCTTGCGGTATCTGAAAATATATTTTCATGTTTCTGAGATAATATTTTGTTTCTTAATTATTTACAAAATGGAAAAATTTTTGACGAATCGATTTATTAATAAATTTAACGTACTCTAGCACCGAGGTAACATAAAGAAATAGCCTTTTTAATGATAAAAAATACGTACTAGAAAGTAGGTTTGATTCCGCAAAAAAGAAACCGTCTTCAATCGTGGTAAAATCAAATATTTTGATTTAAAAAAAAAACTACTGAATCGGTGTTGATAAAATTTCTATGGGTCTTATCTGAAAATATACTCCTTTAGATAATAAATAGAATTTTTCGAATCGATTTATAAATGGAGTTCTATGGTAACATAAAGAAATAGCCATGATAACGTAAACCAAGTTGAGGACTTCCCTTTTTTTTTAAGTCGATTGAAAAAGGCAAGTTTGGCACATCACTAAGCGCCCGCACCGCTCATACTGCCATACAGATGGCAAAATTGATTAGGCAATAAAACCCGGTCTAGACTGTTGCAGCATTGTCTGATAAAGCCCAGTTTTTATTGGTACAAACAGGTTGACGTGTACGAGTTCTACGAACTAATCCATCATCAATCAAATGTCTAATTATAATTATCTAGACTTTTGAAATTTAATTTTAGATAAATACCTAATTTTACTAGTGTGGGGACTAGGTTACTATTTTCATTGATGTTCAAATTTGTTTGCAGTAACATTTAAACAAATAGAAATGAAATTTTTTTCCTTCAAAAAAAAAAAGGGAAAAAGAGCAAGTAAATAATATTAGAATAGTTAAAAATCTTATTCCCTGGTCAGCTTTATTGCGATTTCGTACGCGTAGATTTTGAAGGTAGAAAAATTTATGAAAGAGACCATTTTTAGTTTTAAATTCGAACTTCAGGAACACAACAATACAAACAGTATCTAATTAGGTGCAGTAGTTTTTATGAGCTTTTGGTATAGAGATAGGCATTAATTTCAAAAATTATTGTTTTGATATCTAATGCTCTTACTAATTCTCCCATACCTATATTTTTTTCATAATATGTGCTATAACGTTCAGACATCGTCTACATTTAGCCACTGTGCTATATTTTATAATTATTACATTTGAATATGTGGCGCCATCTGTTGTTTAGTAGCAGCAACTATCGTTCGAAGTAAATGATTTTGTTTTTAAAAAGGAATTAAAAGCGCGTCCACTTCAAAAGAAATTCCATAGAAGTCCATAATTAGTTATTTAACTGTCGATCGTAAAGAAACCCGAACAGTTTGTCGTAAAAATCGCAAAACGTCCACTTAGTTTTCCTTTCAATACTTTGTTCTCGTGTAGGCAGGTATGGCAACACAAATGACAGTAATTAGCATTAAGCTTAGCTTATTTATGTTTATCAATGTTTATGTATGCCTAGTAATTGAGACTTTGGTATTAGGTATCTGCATAATGTTTACCGCCCATTGGCAGAGAAAAGTCCATACTCGTTACAAAGATCTACTTAAAATACTCTTTTTGTTTTTAGAGGTTGTGTACCTCAAAAGAGAGGACGGAACCTTTATAAGATCGCTTTGTTTTTTTATTTTTTTATCTGCCCTTTATCTCAAGAACTTGTGAATGGATTTTTAAAGATTACGAGATAAAGAAAAAAAACTGCACCACGCAGACAAAGCAGCAGGCTACAACTAGTTTAGTTACATAATTGTTATAAGTTACCACCCTTTTACCTAGAATAAGACGATGTTATTTAACTATTCTGCCCACTATTTTATAAGTGTGAATTTTAGAAGAAGAAATATCAATGAAATAGACCACTGCTAGATGGCGTATCAAGCTAAAATATATTTTAATCAGATTTTTAGTTAGACCTTTTAAATTGTGAAAAACGCATCCAATTTGGTGCAGTAGTTTTTATGTAATATTGGAACAAACGTACAGAAAGACAGATAAACTTTCTAAATGATTTAATTACTGTTTTGACATCTAATCGTTTTATTTTTCATATCAATTTTTTTTTTAAATCTCCCATGTACAGACATCGTCAGGGTACAATTTACGTATTATGTTAGTAACATAACTAAAATGTCTCAGTGCAGAAATCCGCCTACCTGTGTGTTGTGACTATTGTGACAATGGCCGCCATATTACGTACCAACTTGTATATATAACTTGTGCGCAAACTCATAAACAATACGATTGCGTGATGTCGAATGCATTAAAACGAATGGCTTCGCAATAAAAGCTAGGCATTATCTTGGGTGTTAATGCATTTGACAAGGCACAATGAGGGAACGATGGTACGATGATAAACTTTCATTAGGATACCTATGTTATTTTTTAATGAGCGGTTCGTATTAAGCTACCTTGTTCTAGTTACCTTGCTAAGTTGCATTATTGCAACATAGAAACAGGTCTTTTCTCATAAGATGAAGATATTAGTCTATTATGCCAGATTGGCAACTTAGTATAGGATTATAATACGACTTTTCTTCTTTTGTGCTAATATTTTGGTCTTTTTCTTATAGCGGTCTATTATAGGATCGAAATTCTGGAGATAGAAAGGATTGATGTCATCAGAAATATAAAATGTTATATTTAATTAGTTTTCAAATACATTTTTGCGTTATCTATGCAAGCCTAGTCCCTTAATGGTAAAAACAAAAGCGAATACTAAAGTTCTTTATCATCATGTCTTTTGCTTTATCTTATTTCATAACCATTTCTCATCTATCACATGTCGGTTTTAAGACCTTCTTCCTTAGATTGTATCTACAAGGTCAAATATTCAATTAATTTATTAAATAAAAAATAATAACTAATGCCTTTTTTTATGGAGACATGTTCATCCCCAGCAATGCAACGTCAATAGATTGTTATATATTTTCTCGTCATTAATATTAGAAACGTACAAATTACAGGAGCTCTTCGTGCCTATCAATACAAAGGGGGAGATGTTCGAGGTATGCCCGGAGGAGCTGTCGCCAGCGGAATGGGAGGGAGCCGAGCCAACATCGAGCCCGCCGCCCGAGGCCGGGGTGCGGGCGCACCGGCTTCCACATTTGCTGAGCCTCTGGCGGCTGCCCACCAGGGTGCGGCTGTTAGCAGGCACCGTGCCGATCGAGATGGCACATGATGTTGGAGGTAATATACCATTTTATTAATATACATAACCAAACATATTCTGTTCATCTAGCTTCTAGGACATGATCCATTTGTATACCAAACTTTATATCCCTTTAGCTGTGATTAACAAACATTTACTAATCTTTAAATCTTTAATATTTATAAAATTAATAAGATCATAATTTTCAATTCTAGTATCGTATAATTTACTTGTAAAATACAATAGAACCATTATTACATAATATTAATTTAAATTTCAGATGATCTTCTGTTACGGGCGGCAGTAACAGAACCAGTTTTAGTAATGTGCACCCTCCCGGAGTACGGTTCGATGCCGTCCAGTCCGAGTAAGCAGATGGATCCACGCTACCACGCGAAGGATTCCCTTAGACTTCTTCCCCTCAATAGCAACATAAAAGTTCGCCGAACCCAGCTCGGATTCGAGAATGAGAAGCGAATGTTCCTCTCCGCTCGTCTACAGAAGGCTCTTACTTTCTGTCAACTCAACGTTGATAATTGGATTAGACAGATCTCTTACGCGAACTCTACTGTTGTTAGCAAAGGGAAAACTGCCGAGGATCTCATTAAAGAAGACCATGAGCCAGTAAAATTCGAGAAGGAACGCAAATTCACACTACAAGGCCTAAAGATAGATACGTCAAGACTCTTCGGGAAAAGCGAGAAAGTACTCAAAGATATACCAGACGAAACTGAGGGATCTATTATATTTTTAAGTAAAAACGAACTCGAACATATGAATTACGACGTTTATAGCGACGATGAGGGTAAAGATGATAAACCGGAGGAGAAAATTGATCAAGAACAGTTTTCCAATGATAAAATGCATGTCTTTAGAGAGGACTCTGGACAGAAAAAGAACAAATGGTTTAAAAACTTAAAACTCTTAAAAAGCACTGAGAAGTTGACAGATGAAAAAATAACGGCTATTGAGAACAATGAAAAATTAACTGATGTGAAAGATCCGTTCGATCCTCTGGGTGAAAAACACAGTTCAATAGAGCGGTACCAAGATATGGCGAAACTTATTGAAGATAAATTTGGTGCTTCCAGAAAACAAGATGGAACAGCCGAAAAGAGTTACTCTTATAAGAGTCTTACAACTTCTTCATCGGATATGGGGACTAGTCAGTGTAGTTCCAATCATAAAAAACCTATATTGACAAAATCGGTGTCGGTGCAAACAGGTATGCCTGACAGTTCTTATAATACAGAAGATAGTGGAATCAATATGAAGCATGGTCGCAAAAATCTTAGTGTGGATCAAATAAACTATTGCGGTTCTATGGAAAGTGATTCCAGTTCTGGTCGTAAATTAAAGTCTTTAGACGAAAATATGCTCAAAAAGTCATCAGCTACAAAATCCTCTACGAATCTCGAAAGGAGACAGAGGATACAGCCTGACTTAATTCCTGAAAAAGCTATGGCTAAGTCAGAATCATATAATCAAATACAAAGTTGTGAAGATATCAACATGTTTGGAGTCGGATCTCTATACAATGATAGTGATTTCGAAATCAACTATAAACAACATTCGTTTATTACGGAGAAATTATGTTCAGAATTTCACGTTAAAACGAAGAGAGTGCTGAGTAAATCTACATCAAATCTATTGCATCCTAAAAAATGTAGTGAGAAAAAAGAAGGCAGTAACAGTAATAGTATGCCGACAAAAACAGAACGTTCAAGCGATGGCGAGAAACTTGTTAATTTTAGAAAAAAGATTGATAAGCCAAGAGCTCCTACACCTAAGTCTGAAATAGAAGAAGATATATCAGCAGTAGATATTTCAGAAGAAGAACCGCAAACTCAAGTAAAGATCCGTAGGTCCATTTCTTCAATACAGAAACGAAAGCTTCCTGTAATAGAAGATTTACCTTATGGACAGGTAGCTGATGCTGTCGAAATTGAAGAAGAAAAGGTCGAATCGGATGCCAGTTCTGACAATATTTATGCTGAAATATGTACACCAAATGGTAATAAACTGAATGAAGAAGATAATTATGATAATAATATAGACGTACTAGCGAATGACCCTGTGATTTGTAATGTGAAAAAAGAAGTAATAATAAGAAACGATGAACGAGCGAGGCAGATGATAGAGAACCAAGAGAATCCTTTTAGACATATAGAAGTTGTAGTAATAGAGAAGACTACAGATTTTGATTTAGACAATTCAAGCGTGACATCCAGTGAACTAGACGACATGGGAAGTAAAAATGACGTATCGATAACAGTAGATTCCTGGGAGCGCGATAAAGTTAACCATTCGGATCAGAAAATTCATGCGATAAGATTAGAGATAACTAGCAATATGGATGATTATCCGAATGAAAACGAAAGTCAAAGTTTAGAAAGGACAGAAGTCCGACTAAGTAAAGATAATTGTTTAAGCTTTAGTAACAGCATCCATTTGAATGGTACATATCCCAACGAGGCCATTTATGATACTTTAAAATAGTTAGTTGATAAATTCACAGTACACTTTAGTCACAAATTTGCAATTCGAATATAGAGAATTGTTTCGCAAAATGTTTTACTACTATTTTTTATATGTAAGCGAGAGATGTAAGAAGTTATGTTTTTATATCACAATATACTATTTGAAATGATACCACAATTAATATAATATTATTTCACAATGCGGCGGTAGTGAACACATTGCATAAAATTTATTACATATTTTAATTCTCTTAATATATTTATCATATTATAAAAATCTTATAGGCAGACAATAACTGATTTTGTTTGTCTTTTTCCAAATAAACATGCGAATTATACATCATGCACCTATAATTAAATATTTGCAATGACAAATATTATTCTTTGTAAATTGTTTCTATTCAAACAGGTTATAACATATTTATTCCTCTCTGAAATATAAAATAATGGGCTGAAAATGCCCATAATAAAAAAAAAAATAGATTTTGTATCAGACTATGATGTAATCATTTATCTGGTCTACCCAACTTTCTGCCATCATTACTGTTCATTTATTATGGTCCTATATGTTTTACAATTATTATAACTATTACAGGGTCTTGCAACCATCACTTTATCACTGGAAGGATTCATATAAATAATAATTTTATTTTAAACTTATCGCTCAGCTTTCATAAACTGCCACATCAAGTCAGACAAATTCCTATTTCAGCTAGTACGTCCTAAAACTTTTATAATAAATAAACCTATATGTTAATGCCTATATACATACATACATTAAAAATGTCATTGCAAAAATCCTTTAAGGCCTGCGCAAACGATGGACATATTGTATGCGTACAAAATGTCTCTCGTATGCACAGACCATTAAATTTAACAGATACGTATATCTCATTTATAGTATTCTGTTAATTTGAAAATTATCACTACCAGCCTGTTTATTAACCATTAATTACTTATAATATTAATTGACACAAAGTGTACTTACCTATTATGTAAAAAATCACAATTTAATTATTTTATGGCATTATTTACTAATTTTATGGCACCTACTAATTTATATTTACTTGATATTATTATACAATGTCATGCGACCAAAATCCAAAAAAAAGCTATTTAAAGTGGTAAATAATTCAGAGAACTTTAGCAATATGAAGACGATGCATCAGACAAAAATTAAAAAAAAGAATTAGTTACAAAACGAACGTACCATTTTTATGCATATTGATATTAAACTGAGAGAGGATAGTAGTCAATTTGCTGACGAGCCACCCTAGAAAAGCAGCGATTTAATCAGTAGATATGTTTTTGTCATGAGAGGAAACATGACGTCAAAGCTACTATCTTGTTCTTTTTGAATCACATGTTAATGACAATAATATGTATTTATTGATACATTCATTTATCATTTGTTTAAGGGAACTGGAAAGAATAATATGTAAAAAAAAAATATATTGGAGTTGGTCTTTGGAGTTATTAAAATTAAATATGAGCTTTACGGACTAAACCACTAATTACAGTTTATACTTAAAAAAAATAATATACACAGCGCAATCTAGTAAAAACAGAAGTACTACTATTTTAGTATCTATTACTTACTAGATGGCGCTGTTATTATAAATTAAATATGACAAAAAAATAACTAAGCGACATAATTCCAATATGAATATAAAATATCTGGTTAACGATATTTATGTTATCTAATATATAATATAATAATGTGCTCGCTATTTTTTATATACGGTAAAATAAACATTACAAGGTTTTATAAATGGATTTTGGTCGCCTAAGTGATTTCACAACATCGAAAATTATTATACCCTAAACACAAAGTCAAATGTACCTATAGGCAATATAGATGAGAAAAAATGTAATTTGACATAAGATGAAAGTACTAGTGTACTCTGTATTATTATTTTTTATAACTGCAAAAAATAGAAATTAAAAAAATAAAATCTTTTAAAACCTATTTAACTGGCGCAACGAATGTTACTAAAATCAAACTACAATTACAGTAATATAGACTAATTTGTATAAAATTCATAACCATAGAATTCAAATTTGGAATTCTACATTACATACACTTACTTTTTAATTTCGACTTTCTACATTGCTGCCATCTATTATTTGAACAATTGCAGTGTACTTTTACACTTTTTGTAAACATTTTAACACGAATTTTTTAAACGTTTGTGTACGGGGTATTTTAGTCACTAATTTCATTATTAAAATTGGTGCTACATATATAAGGTTAGTTGTAATAGGTTACAATAAGACGCGTCCAGTCATATTATTCATGAAGTTGGCCAATTTACTCTAAGAAGCATAACTGAAATGATTTTTGAACTTTTTATAAAGCACTCACATGATTAATTTAATTAAATGGTTAATGGTTCTCGGGGCAAGTTATTCAGTTTCCAATAGTCTTGGCGAAAGTTGTTCAGTATTTATTATTCTTGGGGCAAGTTATTCAGTGTCTCTAATAATTGGGGTAAGTTGTTCAGTTTCTATGATTCTTGGGGCAAGTTGTTCAGTTTCATGAATACCTTAACTGGAGTTTAGTTTGGTGTACCCATTACGACTAATTCTGTACTATAATAGGTGCTCAAATATTATATAATTTGTTATTAAGGCACATATCACATGACAATTTGTAAATTGAGTGTACCATATAGGTTTAATGTTGTATTGTAAAATATAAATCAGTTAAGTCTGACAATATTGGTCGTGTAAAATTAATGTTACAGATTTGTCAACAAAAATATACGAATTATCGAATGTGTTGTTTTTATTTATATATTTATTTCAATAACTTTATTGACCGAATGAATATATGCTACAAAAGGTGGACTTAATGCTTGTAGCATTCTCTACCAGTCAACTTTTGGGATGAACAGTGAATCAGGAACGTGATTAGGATAGGTAAAGAAATTTACAGCTAATAATGTGTGAATATTCCGAATAATATAAATAAAATAAAATAAAATTAGATATCGGATATATGGAAGCAGGTGAAGAAAAATAGTGGATGATGAGTTCAGAAAATTTTTATAAGTCAATTCGATTGTTTAAGAAAGAACATCAATAAAAATATTCAAATAATGTCATTGACAGAAAAATAAAATAAAAAATATAAAGAGGTTTCACAACATATGTATACTTATACACAACATATGAAATATACATTATAAACATAAAATGATGATTCAGAGGGAGATTATGTATAAAAGACGTTGGTACTTCTGTCCTATTCGTGTTTTTACCGTTAATCAGTTGGGTTTGCATGACTGTATTTCAGTTTGAAGGGTGAGATATGGCAGTGAATTTACAGGGTACAGAGGTATAATACCTTCTTCAGGAATGGCAACGCATGGAGGGAGGTGTATCATGGGCGAAACAATAATATATATATATATATATATTATTGTCCCAAGTTTATATCGTCAGTGCATGCAAGGTTATCATTTTATTATCATTAATAAAAAAACTGGTAACAAATTTATTGAGAGTACGCCATTGATGTACATTTTTTTTAATACAACTTAGAATGGCAAACAAGTCGACGGCCCACCTGATGGAAAGCGGTAACTGTCGCCTATAGACATGAGCAGTACCATGGACATAACAGAGTATACTGTTTCGTCCATATCTTCCATGCGTTGCCATTTCTGAGGACTCAGATGTTATTCCTCTGTACACTGTAAATTCACGCCATATCCCATCCTTCAAACCGAAACAGTTAATGTTAGGTGAGAAAGCACTTCAGTTGGCCCATTATAATGTATTTGACTAGAATTAACCAAGATGGTTCCTAGGGAGAACCGTGAAGAGGTCGACCTGATAAGACATATCGCTAGCAATGAGGCTGGTCCATCTAATCATCCCTTTTTCCCATAGCGAGAGAGAGAGAGTCAAGTCAGTAAATGCCAGTGACATCCCGCAAATGTATATCAACAGCGCAGACGGAGTAACCATTCCAGTTTCGTCCCATCAGAAACTCAAAAGTAGTGAAATAAAACCAATATTCCGACAAATATACTGTAATCAATAGAATTATATTCAAAATTAAAAAAATAGAGTTGACAAATTATTTTATTACTGTGATGTTAAAATAATTAATCTGGACAATATACGACAATAAAATTGAACTATATATTATCAATAAATAATAATAATAATAAAAAAAACAACTTTACCAAAAGTCAGTTTTTGTGCGTCTTTCAACACAATTGTCTCAATAAAATTAATAGGAATGAACGAATTAATAATTCTTCAACAATATTCATCTAAATGCTTCAATCCTCATCACTTCGTCAGTCTACTACAATAATAGATGTACATACAATAATAATATGTACTACAATAATAGACTTTATACCAAATAATTTTAAGTATATTTTGCTATAGATATATTGAATAAAATATAGATAAAAAAAACAGCTCTACTTCATAGATTTAACTATTACATTTTTATTATTAAATCTTGCTTTTAACTCGTTAAAATTCCATATTTAATAATAAATATACATTATAAAAACCATCGAGGTCAGAAGGGAGAAAATGTTGGGACACATAATACGACACGATAAACTTATGAACATTATAATAGACGGTAAGGTAGAAGGAAGGAGGGGACGGGGAGGCCAAGGTATAGTTACGTTAGGCAGATCAAAGGACGTTGGTCGAGGTGAAGGGACTCGCTGAAAATCGTAGAGCTCCACCGATGAGCTCCACTCTCAAATACAAAATGGAAAAGCTGCATTTTCTATTTAACAGACCTCCAAGTTGCGGATCTATTATTGTAGTAGATTGACCAGCACTCTTAATATTATTTTTTTTTTTTACAATATACAAGAATATATGAACAATGTTTTCCTTTGAGATTATATATTTAAATTCTGACCTTATATGACTAAACACAATAAGATGCAACTTTCGAAGCTACACAATGATTGCGCAGTGAAATAATGCACATAAATGTTATGTCCTCTGTTACAGTCGTGACTTGAGAAGTTTGATAAACACAATAATTGGGGCCCATTCCGAAGTGTCTGCTCTCTAAATATATATTAAAATTTCAATTTTATGATATTACAGTGAAATATTTATTTTTAGGACGAATATGAACTAATTTACTAAGTTACATTTAAGTTAAAACTGTTATAAAATTTAGTTTATGAATGTTCATAAAATAGTAATATTGCTAAATTATCAAATTCAAATATTAAGAGAAATTTAGAGAAGAAACAGAGCTTCAAAATCAACCCCGAGTGTATTTTGTTATCGAAATGTCTTAATATACAAATATTGAACAAAATACAAAGAATGGTAAGCGGTATAAATAATTTTGGCGCGTAAATACCTACATAGTAATGGAATGCAGGGTTGTCTATCTCACTCTAGACTTGTATGTGTGAAGAAACTACTCAAGCCACAAGTAGGGATTGCACTTTTGGGTAGTATTTATCAGTCGAAGAATCACATGGGTGTGGGAGGGGGGGGGGGGGCGGTCTAGGCGAGTCTTATGGATTGGATAATTTGGAAGACCGCCGAGCCACAGACTACGAAGATGAAGAGAGCTAGAAGCCATGGTGCTACAGGGTACTGATCGTCTTTTTCCTGAAAAAAAAAAGATTACATATTTAATATATTTTTTTAATTATATCATTACATATAAGCCGAGTTTGGACTGATTTAATATTTAGAAGATTAATACAATACAATATATTTCATAGTAATGGGGGGGGGGGGGAAGATTGTTAGTAATTGGATCTAGCACTATATCCTATCAGGTCGACATCCACGCGGTTACCCTTGGAAACTATTGTGGTCCACACCCCTAACTAATTGAGCCCTGGCTAACTGACCTGCTTTCATCCTCACCTATCATCTCTCATAACCCTTAAAAAAAACCTTAATTATTTTTTATTTATTATATTATTCTTTATATTATGTTATTAGTTAAGCCATTAAGGCAACAACGTCTGAGGATACAATCAAGAGCATTCGGACATGATCCATTTCATGAATTTTCCAAATCAGGTAACAACTGACGGAGTCTTGAGGCTAAAAATATAAAAAAAAAAAACAAATTGAAACCCTCATTTTTTAAGTAGGTTGAAAACAAAGGTAATATCGACTACTTAGTGAAAATAAACGAAATTAAGTATACATAATTATTAAGTATTTCTTTTAGTTATTAAATGAGTACACTTAAACATGTCCAATCCGATTTCCCGCGGCTATTTTGTATTGCGGAACATTAACATTGTTTTACGCAGTTGGTTTCGATAATATAAACACGCAATAAGTAATGTAGCCCTTGTGCTGGCGCAATAAAGTCCATAATAAAATAGCACACCACGTCAGAGAAAATATTCCGCTCAATGTCACAGGTGGTTTGATGTTATTGAAAAAAATTTCACTGACATCAGTCGCTTTGACTCGCTAATCTATTGTTTGTTTATTTATTATTACTTCGTATAAAATTCGTTTGCTTGGGTAGCACTGTCCCATTAATGTTTTTTTTTTTAATGGATGATAATGGAATGGTAACCCCGCCAGCGCTAATTGAATATGCTGTTGTGGCCAAAAGCCAGCCACGAAATTCCATAAAAAAAATAAAAAAAGCTCAATCCATAAGGCATTTTAAATCATAATTAAAGACTGTGTCCCTGAATCCCACAAAAAAGACTTTAACTGTGATAAAACCAGTTATTTAAATCTAAATACACAAAAGTGAGTTTCGTTTGTTATTTCTTGACATTGTAATGGCTCAACCAATTGCTACAAAATTTGGTACATTATTTGGGATTGGGAACGACAGAGGCTACATTTCAATAGATTTTAAAAAGAAGAAGATTATCAATTCGGTTGTATCTTTTTATGTTTGTTACCTTATAATTATGTCATTTGTAAATTTGGAAAATTCTTTTTTATCTGAAAGGTAAATACTTTCAATTTTATATCAAAACAACTGATTTTGCCACAATTAAAGTTGGTTGTTTTTTGGTGGAACAAAATCTTAACCTTATTATATTCACTCAAAATATCCTGGTTAAGGGGATGAAAAGATTAGTAAAGATTAGTCAGTACAACTAACCTTGGTGGTTTTGGGCACATTTCCTCGCATGGTGATGTTTTTACTGGCGATCTCGTTGGCGATACGCATCCTCTGTTTTGGCGCCATTTTAATTGATTTGAAATATATTTGTCCTGGAAGAATGTGAACACAAAAATTTAATAAATAAAAATACAAGTTAAATTTGGAGTAGTAACATATCTATGAATTTTGTCCAATTGGTTATAATGGGCTAACTGTCCTGGTTTCATCCTCACCTATCACCATTCGCTCCTGCCCCCTCCCTTTACCCCTCAGCATATACCAATAGTGCAGATTCCTATTTCATTATCATCCATTAAGAATACATATTTTAGAAATAAATACTAATGAAAAAAAATAATTACATTGAACATTTGTTATTTAATCCTGCTTATATCACTCTAAAGATTCCTGTGAAATTTACTACACTGATAGGTAATTACCCTTACCAACACATTATACACTAATTTATATAAACAAATGTGTCATTAAAATGGTCGACATTTTTGACACCAGATGACACCACCTTCATATGACTACAATAATTATATATAATAAAAAATAGCTTTAATGCAATTTATAACTGCCCTTACATTGCACTATAGCTATTGAAACTTTATTAATCAATAAATGTGGTAATAAGTACCAATTAATGCAAATGACATTCTCTACCTGCTAACCTTTAGAAGGTGCATTCCATTTAATACTCATAAAAGGTATAAAAAGCTCATAGTAATGAACTTAGCATCTTCAGAGATAAAAAAAATGTCATGGGTCACATCTAGAGATAAGTCACAATTATACTTTATATTTACAAATAAAACAATTTAATAACTTAAGTATTCAAAACAATATGTAGGAAAATCCAACTATATAGCAACCTTCACAAGACTATGAAGTCGCATTTTATTATTTTACCGGAGGGAGACTTTGTACAAGTCTTTTGTTTGGGTATGTATATAGGTGACATTATCACTTTCCATCAAACTTGTTTCCTATTTCCATATGTTTTAATGTATTGTAATCATCATGTGTTGGAAGATCCAAACCCTTATCCCAAAAATTCGGGTCCACATAATGTTTTTATCCATATTACTCAAAATTTTGGCCTTTAGCTTTATGACTGGCCACCTGTCTATATCAACTTTCCTTCGGAATTAATATTGTAAAATAGTGGATATAGTACATATTACAATGATAAATTTATTTCAAAGAAAATGACAGGTAGAGTTTGTTTATAAACTTATTATGAATACCAAATAATGAATTAGAGGGGGGATAAATTTGATCATTCAAGTTGAACGACCATTTTAACTGTGTAATCTCACAAACTAGAATTTTAATTGTATAGATTTCATTTATGTTATTATAAATGTTTAATTACTGCAAATTAAGAAAGGATTTTTATCTATGAATACATTATGGAAATAATTATTTAATTCAAATCTCTCTATATTAATACTAATTCTTATACAAATAAGAATAACACACTCTGATATCAAGAACTTCTACAAGATCACAAATATATACCATTTCACTATATTGACAAGTTGCTTCTCTTTTCATTATCTATTTAATTGCTTTTAATACATTGATAAAAAAGATAAGCTGATTAAAAAAATACTTAATAAGTTTTCTTATACCACTAGATAAGAAATTAATTAGTATATAAAACTTGAAATACAAAAATGAAAAAGAGAAAAAGAATAAACTTACCTACAAAAAAATGTGTAATAAAAACTGTTAAATAGAAGAATAATATATAGTTCTTCACATAATTCTATCAATAAATATCCGAATTAATACTATTACAATAAGATAATAGCCTTTAACAGTACCTAAATGTATCCACTGACGCAACTTTCACTATTTGTAAATTAGCTGAACAAATCTTAAACATCAAAACTATGGACAATTAGATACGATATTAATTAATGGAATGTTTTTTTCTAGAACAATATCGAATTTTCAACATAATTTTATACGTAATTTGGGTTTGCGTCGCAAGGAAATAGCGGAAAAACCCGATCTAATGTTTGCACAGCTGTTAGAAAGTAGATTGGGTTTTCCAATGGAATATTAATTTTAGCAGTAAAATATATGAAGTAAAATTAAAGTTTTATACGTTAATTAGGTGTATTTTACGGTGTAACACGATTTTCCACTAAATCAAGCGATGTTATCAAATTGGGTTTTCACAACATACGACATTTAAAATGTAATAATATTTAGTGATATTATAATAACAATTTCTTGATTGTAATAATTAGAAGCGTTCATAAATCTATTAAGTAAGCAAAATAAAAGGAATACTCACAGTTATATCTTATAATTAGGGCTTTAAAGCCGAACGCGTACAAGCTCACTTGACACGTATGTAAAAAGTGAAGATTTTATTAATGGAAGGAAAACGTCAACAATAACGAAATGTCACACGTCATTACGAATCTCGAAAATCGTAAGTTTATGTTACACAGAATAAAAAAGTTCGTATGATATCTATGCAACCAATTTATTACATTTGAAAATTTTATATTATAATATGGTTGTTGCAGTTTGTATTTTAAATTAACTTCTTTGTAACATTTTTATTATAATCAAGTACTGGCAGTTATATTTTTATAGAAAAATGATATATAATTTTTCAAATAGTTTAAAAATGATCTTGAAAACACAAGATTTATTTTTATCTATGTTAAAATATAATTGATAAAATATATTTGGATCAGAATAATTACAGTTTTCAACAATAGTTTAGCCTTTTATTATACTTATTAGTATAAATATTTTAGATAAAGGCGAAAATAATATGCCACAAAAGCAATTTTAAAATAACATCAGTATGTTTATATTTTATGTTTGTAGGTGGTAGCATAGATATATTTTCCTGTTTTATCAATAGTAAAATGGTGTCGACTCTTAAATAAGGTAGCGATTACCTATTTGCTCTGTGGAATATTGCGCAAAAAAATAGCGACACGCGTATTGTCTAATGTTGCCAATATAAATAAATAAATTTAAAATCTTAAATGTAATATATACTAAATAATATAGATAATAATATTTAAATATAATATAAATAAAAATATTTGATAAAGATTATCACAGTGAATATTATTATTTAAATAAGCAATGAAATAAGGGGAAATGTATTTGATATGCACCTCCTGCCATCTATTAGCCAGTAGTTACAAATTTAATTTAGAACTGTCTCAACTAAATTAGTTTACAAATTCGGCGATAGATGCCGACAGGTTTATTTTAAAGTACTCAACGAAGGATATGTAAGTGTTGATTTTTGATATTTAATTCGTTTACAAAATGGATTCAATTCTAAATTAGTACAATTAATTTAAAGGAAATATCAAGCTCAAACATGCATACTTCACAACACAATTACAACCTGCATTTTAAAAAAAAACACCGTTTTTCTTAGACAATAGCAATGTAAAAAAAATAGGAGAGTTTTTGTCTTAACTAGGATGTGAAATATAATTGTTTGTCAGTATTTTATTAAAACTTAATTTTGAATAGAGACTTTATTAGACACATTTGTACTAAAAATTTTATAAATAAATATGTATAAATGTAAAATGCTTATATTGAATAGAAATATAAATATACTTATATCTATTTATTATAAAAAATAATAATATGTATACAAACAAAATTAATTACGTAAAATTAATTACATAAACATAGAACAATACAACTACTAGCCTATATAGGTATATAATTAGAGATGATTAATTAAAAAATTAAAAGTATATTTTATTTAAATTATGCAACACATACAATAAATAAACACACACTATATTATTTTTAAGCAGAATTCTGTTAAAGTATTATTTTTACTGAATTATTTATTAATAGGTGAGCTATAAAAATTTAAAACATTTTTACATAATGGATTCATAGGGCCAATCACGGCAAATAAAGGAAAGCCAGATTAGTAAAAAACAGAAACATGGTATTTTATTTGCATTAACTCGCGAATTTGCTTTTCCAGCTGCGTTTGAGTGAGACAACGAAAATCAGAAAGGACAATAAAAGACAGAGACCAAGATACACTTTAAGGACATCTGTACATCGTCATTTAACTGTCAGTGATGCAACCAATCACAAAACACTATTATCCTTCAAGGGTAATCCTTGAATTCTCATTGGTGGACGGAGATAACGCCTTCGGAAGGGCAACGCCCCCAAATAGAATCCATTTGAATTTGAATATCGAAAGGAGAATGACATTAAAAAAATAATTGAAGAGTACGTAGGTATGATAGAGAGTAAATGACAGTCTTTGTGATTGAGTCAAATTTGGAATTGAATTAAATTTTAATAAATCGTTATCTAATAATAAACTGAATAAATAATAACAAAAATAACCTGTTTAGCCACAATTGAATCGTTTTTTATTAAATAATTAGGTATTATTAAATAATTGAAACTTTAAATTAATTAAGAAATTGAAGTAAGTGCGCAGTCTAGCGAGCCTACTGCTAACACCTAACCTGTCAGGTCGATCTCCACGCAGTCACCCCGAAGCCATGGAATTTGGAATTTATCGTAACGAATTCATGGTAAGCCAAACAATCTGACCTCATCCTTGCCTATTATTAATATTGCCTCACTAGTATTCCAGCAGCGTAAACCAAATAAGTGCAGGAGGGGTTATTCATTAAAAATCATGGATGTATAGGTATGTATTAGATATGTTTTTTTGTATGGGTAAAAATATAAAAATAGAATGGAAACATCGCCTGCTCTATTTGTATATAATGTCGGGGCACCAGTGAGGGGTGATAAGTGAGAATGAAAGCAGGTCTGTTGGTCCATCGAATTCCAAGAAAATTAACCACGATGGTTATCATGGGGGAATAACATGGAAGTCGAATTAATAGCGTATATCGCCTATATTGCTAGCAATGGTAATCCTATGACCATAAGGCATCATTACTAACAATCCCTTTCCCCCGTCAAATCAAACCCAATCAAATATATGCATTTTCATTTTTATGATGAAAATGCAATAGCAATCCCAAACTGCAAGCCTGCGATAATGTGCGGGATACGTTGGCGGGGAACCAGTGAAGGGTGATAGATAAGAATGAAAACAGGCCAGTTAGCTGATCATAACGGTTTCATTAGGAATTGACCACAATGGTTTTCAGGGGATACTGCGTGGAGGTCGACCTAGTTGGGTATATTGCTTGCGATAGGATTCTTAGTGTCCATTACTAACAATACTTTCCCTCATCCGTATTCGATATGTTTTTTTTTTAATGGATGACAATGGAATGGTAACCTCGCCTGCGCTAACGGTATACACTAGCGGGGCACCAGTGAGGGATGATAGGTGAGAATAGAAAGGTAGGTCAGTTAGCCCATGGTGATGAATACATTTGGAGTTTAGCATAATGGTTTCCAAGGGGGACCACGTGGAGGTCGACCTGGCAGAGTATATTACTAGTAATGGCACTGATAGTTCGCATTACTAACAATCCCTTTCCCCCACCGCATTAGATATATAGATAACATATCTAACATCTACATGTCGAAACATTTGTCGGGCTGCCAGATTAAATAGCCTGTTAAGTACCTACTTAAAGGGGGCGAATGAGGGAGGGGGGGGGTGGTTAGTACCCACCTAATTCACTAACAGCTATCACTTTCCTTCATACCAAATTATCTCAAATTAATTAGTGTCTAAATAGATTTATCTAATACGTATTTACCAATTACAGTTGTCAATAACAGTAGAACGTGTTTCAGGTATTATTTTAAAGCAGGGGATCGCTAAGGTATTCGATTCAAACCCCATTTTAAAAGGAAAATCATAATAAAGGATATTTCGAAACAGTATACTCTGTTATGTCCATGGTACTGCTCACGTCTATAGGCGACGGTTACCACTTTCCATCAGGTGGGCCGTCAGCTTGTTTGCAATTCTAAGTTGTATAAAAAAAAGGCTTGAACTCAGTTTCTAAAAAAAGGAGATTTTATAATCTGTTTATAATTACTAGGGGTGGGTAATATATTAGCAATATCTATTTATTTTAGTTATAATATCTATTATATATACCTATACTGGTCCAATAACGTATCTATATGTTAAAACTCTGTCCAAAAAATAATATTGTATAACAGACTTTTAATATATTCGTAAAAAGATATCCGACCGATATTGGCGATATCGAAATGGGTGATGACGTTTTTTCCACCTCTCTCTCTCTCTCTCTCTCTCTCTTCGTCCTCTTCATTTCTAAAGGTCGTGTCCTTGAAAGGTGTCCGTTGCCTCTCTTATGATGTTATTCCATTGTGCACGGTCTTCAGCTTCTCGCAGGGCAGCTGCAATTGACAGTCCCGTAACGGCGGTTATTTGGTCCGACCATCGATTAAGCGATCGTCCGCGTGGTCATTTTCCCCTCTATCTTGCCTACAACCATTAGTTTGTCCAGATTGTCGGACTGTCGTCGAGCAATATGATCGAAGTTTTTTCCACCATCAACGTCCAAAAGAACTCCTCTCCATCCAAAGGTTGTCTGGAAGAGATCGCTCTTAGCGATAAGGTCGCCCATTGTTTACTCGCTGTGATTATTTCTTGTAATTGTTTATATCTATAATAAGTTTACTATTGTAATCTTTTGGAGGAAACAATAAAGAGTATCTATCTATCTATCTATATAGATATCGGATCTGTATCCATATTACGAGTACTATATGCCTAAGCTACATAGAAGATAAACGAGCATGCGGCTCACCTGATGATAAATGGTCACCGCCGCCTATCAGAGAAATTGCAGATGTATTACCGGCGTATTAAGAAGGAATATGTTCTTTCCTTGAAGGTTTTATGTTATACATGTTTAGAAATACTGCTGCTGGGTGTAGGTTCGATACTTGGGTCGTACGTGGAAGCAAGAGAGTACAGAAACGCACGGTGGAGGACCGTCACCCATCCAGATGATCCAGATAGTACCTACCTTAGTTTATAAAGGGCCGTACGGTGAAATTTAGCAGCTGGTATTAATCCGAATAATTCCTCTGAACACTGTCCATGATATACGCAATATTATTTAAATAAAACTTATTAAAAATGTAGATATGAACAATTGTAAGGAATGCAGTATGCTGATGTCCGATAGCAGAATGTTGGCAATAACAAATGTGAAGTTTGTTTTCTATTGATAATTGTTGGCAATAAATGTTTTCTTTCTTTCTCTCTTTTTCTTTCTTTTAATAGTAGAACAAATCAAAAATCGATTAAGCGTATTTATAACGAAGTATATATATGTATATAATCTTTCAAAATTTCTGAGTAGAGACCAGTTACTATAAACAGGAAACATAGATTTTTAGTATTATATTTTATATAATAATATTCGGAAACAAAGAAAAATCACAGCGAAATTTTTGTTTAAAAAAAAAAAACATTAAAAAAAGTAATA